CTTGAGTTTGTGTTTTGTGGGATCCAATCCATAGAGGCAAAGATCATGCTTTCTTTTTTTTCAGTGGAGGTTCATCCACAGTCAATGTTCCAAGAGAAGAATTGGAAGCGTGTGGATAATGGGGGAGGTCTCCAGTCACTCCTACTATACAGGAACATTTTTCTCCAGTTTTACCCTTGTGCTCTGAATCTGGCCAATATGAGGGCCATACTCTTTTTTTTTTTCTTTTTTCTTTTTCCTGTGACAAATCTTGTGGATTCTTTTCCTCATTGACTACAATGATCGACATATTGTAATACCTAGCATGAATTTTCTCCTAGTTTCCATGTTGATTACAGAATGTCCTGAAGAAGAAATTCCAAAATTGCTTTGAAAAAATGTGTGAGAAAAAAAAAAAGAAAGAAAAAGAAAAAAAAAATGGTATAAAAATAACTCACCTATGTCAGTAATTTTGTCTCGGGTCCACTTGTGCCAGAAGTCTTCGGAATGAACAGATATGTACCAAGCATCCAAAAGATTCAGGGAAAATACACTGCTCCAGATCCCTGTGGCATAGGATATATTTGGCAGAAAGGAAACCAGTAAAGACCTGGAAGCATTTTCATTCACAATGACCTTCATTATTTCCTTCATTCTCCAGCAAACTTTATTCATTACATTACTTTTGTGGGTAAATAAAAGGGACCATCTTTATGAATCAGTATATGAATCCACAATGTATGTAAAGAATTTGATTTATCAGTATGTATGAACAGAGCTGGCAGTATTTAGCAGATCTATCTGCTAAAATATACATTTTTGTAATGTTGCAAATAGCATCTTGTCAAGTAAATGTAGCGTTTTCCAGCTGCCTTCAACATTTCCTGTTTTCAAGTTCCCAGTATTTGTAGTTCTAAAGGCTTTATTTATTGGTGCATAGCCCTGTTACAGGTACAATACTGTCAGACAGGACTGCCAGGAAATATTTAAGAGTCAGAATGAGAAGGCTGATTTACAGCTTTTGGAAGTAGGAATTGTAAGAGCATAAATCTTTTTTATTTGTCTTCTGGGTATATCTGAACTATATTTTTCAGGTCTTCTATCTATCAATATATGTTAAATGGTTAAAAAAAAAAAAAGAATAAATCAAAGAGTGAACATAATGGCAACCCAGACTGCCACCCATCTGCAATCTTTAAGGGTAAGAAAACACCACTCCCTGTTGTGGTTGCATATACTGTATTTGCAGCAGTGCCTTGCTATACCCTCCAAACTGTGGAACTAAACCTGGCATTTTTGGGAGAAACTGAGTGAAGGATGGAAAGAGCTGTACCCAGGCAGCTTAGCCATGGCCTTGACCCTTTGTGCAGAAAAGATTCTGCTGTGCAGGAAGAAGCTACAGGACCTGCACAGTCTGTCCCTACTCTGTTTAGGGGCTGAGGTGCCAAGCAGTTTGCTTCATTCACAGAAAACCTTTGGAATAACTGTCACTGAAGTAAGTAATGCTGAATGAGGGGATGCTGGGTCAGTGGCTGGAAACAGAGACAGAAATGTCCCAGCATTGCTCCGAAGAAGTGGAGAATGCCAAGGAAAGAGGTGTAGGATAGGTGCTGGTGACCTGCTGACATTTCTGGCCATGGAAGAGAAGATGCAGGCACTCTGTTGAATATCTGCAGGAAAGGGGAGGTTCTGACATCAAACTGCTTCCTTGTGCCTCCTCATGACCTACAGTGAAATCTCCACACAGGCAAAAAATCTTAACTTCTCCAAGCACCCCTGAAACTTCCTTTGTGCAATTGCTGGAAGTTGGAAGAACAATGAGGCAAGAGATTGCTTTCGCAAAGGGAAAAAAGCATTTCTTAGTGATTTGATTGTTCTTGTGCAAGATGGGGAGAAAAAAAAAAAAAAAACAAAAAACTACTAAGATCTGTTTACAATCCAAAATGGAAGTGTCCTGGATGACTGATCAGTTTTTGCTGCAGCAGTAACATTTTAGAGAAAAGGCTATTACTGCAGAGTCCTGGGCTAAAAAGGGATTGCTAATTTAAATTACCTATGATATTACACAAGTTCTGTAGCTGGCAGAGGTATGTAAATAATACAAAGACCTCGTGTCAGTAAGCATAAGCATATATAAAGTCAAATCAATCTGTTCTATTGAATAATGTTTCAGAGAAAATAAAGAGTCCTCCAGATGGTGATCTGTTATGAATCCTTATGTTTTAACAAATTCTTCTGGTAGGTAAAAATGTGATAACTGACTCATTTCAGAAGAGGGGTTTGCCCAGGATGGATTATATAACATTACATTTATCCAGGTCAACAAGTTACCTTCCAAAAAGCAAATTCTGGATTCTGGGATTTTCTTCATCAGACGACCCATGAAGAACTCACTGCCAAAATCTTCTGCACGAATATAGGCACCATATTTTAGGAATCCTACCTCATAAGGAGTGAATTCCACCCATTCTGAAAAGAAGAGCACACAACAGATTGATTACAGCAGCAGAGGCTCAAATTAGTTGAATAGAACATACGATATTAGCTGATTTAAGGCAGTCTGGTTCTGAGCTAACATAGTTACAGCAGACAGCTATTTTATTCACTTTGTATTTCACAGTGTGGAACATAAATTATGAGTGAATTGCCTCCTTACATCTAAATGTGTCTGCAAACTTCAGGTTTTATGGCACTTTCTACTGACATGCTGAGCAGGTAATTTCAGGATAATGTTCTCTATCATCCATATACTGAGGACTTCAAAGATTTAACTATTAGAAATCTACTTCTAGGTGAATTGGCCCCTAAGGGGATTTGTGCACTTAATTGATTTATCTAATTGAACCTAAATGGACCCCTTTATGGGATTAAAAGTTAAATGCAGTTCAGAAATATGCTTACCTCTAAAATCCTGGTCACTGATTTTATCCTTCACATTGAGGGAGAGGTAGATGGGCAGGGGATTCTGACCACGGTTTAGTGCCTGCTGCTGATCTGTGAGCTTCTGGGTGTCCTCCTGTTTTGAAGAAAAAGTACCTGAGGACAGGCAGATGACACAAAGAGCCTCTCACTTCACCTAAACCTGGGCTCTGACAACAAAGAGTGTATCAGACTAACTAGGATGTTCCTCACTGGTTTAATATAGGGAGATGCTCTGATCCCTCTCTCCGACCCTCCTCCATCTCAGCACTACAGCACACAAACAGTCCTCATGATATGGACTGTCTATGTATATGGTCTAAGTTCACATGATGAAAAAAAATCTGAGATTTTAGAGGTTATTCACATTATCTTAAAAGAAAAAAAAAAAAAGTCCAGAAATATTTGAAAAACACTCCTGGCATGAAATATTTCATTCAGGAAGACTAATCTCCGTCTTTAGCATCTCAGAAGATCCTTTCTTCTTCAAGCCTATGCCAAAGCCCAGACAGAGTTAATAGTCAGCGTGGCTCATCCCTTTATGCTTCTGAGCATCTGACATGGTTAAGAAAGATAGAGGATGGTTTGGGAGTGGTGCCAAGGCTTGAGAGGGAGTTGTGCTTTTTCTTTGACTTCTCACGGTGTAGCTCTTTTTGGAAAGAACAGTAGGATTTTCACTTTAGTATTTACACATTAATTCAGTTGTTAATTAATAAGTTGTTCATACTAGAAGTTTTCTATTATTTATTTTTATTCCCACCCTATCTGTTCCAGGTGTGATGTTAATGTCTGCATAATACAATCAGCAAACACATGAAAATGATACTGACAAGGCATATTGTTGAGGCATTTATCTGAAAACCAACCAACCTTCTGCCACTTGAGAAAAGTGTGGTCAGACAATGGAACAGGTTCCCTAAGGGGGGCTGTGGAGTCTCCACCTACGCAGGTATTCAGAACTTGACACAATCCTGGGCAACCTGCTCCATAGCTGTGCAGGCAGAGTTGTTGGACCACAGATAACCTCCAACCTCAGCCACTCTGATTTACTTCTGCCCTCACTACTGTATCCATTAAATATGCAAATCTGAAAAGTCCTTCTGTTATACCTTGTCACGGAACATAGATTCAATGATGAGTCCCCACAGATCTGTGAAACTTATCTGATGTCCTTCCTGTTTCCTTTGGCATAACTCTTTCAAGTAGTATTTCAGACGGTCTGGAGCAAAACAAGCCAAGAACTTATTTTTAAGCACGTGCCTTCGGATATCATTGAGTGTTTTCTTAAGATTCTTCTGCGACCAGTCAGGATCTTCATACAAGTTTGCCATGGTCCTAAAGAAGAAAGAAACAAGGAAAAGTGTGAAATCTCAAGCTGAGCTTTAGGAAATTGTGGAGGTTTTTGTATGATGTCTTGATTTTCATAACAAAACACACATGTATGCAGTATCACCCACATCTTTAAGCAGGACTGCCTTAGCTCCAGATGCTAACAAATACCTACTGAAGGATATGCGAAAAAGCCACAGCAGAAAAGGAAAGCCTTTTCTTAATAGCACTGGCCAAAAATGCTATGAACAATGATGACTTCTGGTGTTGCAGCTAGTAACCACTAGATATTCAAATGAGGCTCCAACTAGCAGCTCACCACTGTAACTCTTTGAGTCACTCACAGAAATCATTTATGGCAAGCTTTAATGAAAACTTTGTTTATCTTGGCCTTACCACGTTGTGCCAGACAGACCGGTGACGTAGGAAACACAGTCCAAGACATTCAGTTCCTGCACGCTCAGAAGGTGAGCGTACATGGCTGTGAGAGCTCTGGTTCCACCACCCGTGGTCATGATTGCCACCACAGGTACCTGTTCAATCCCAAAATATGTGCATTTAATAACATAGCATGGGAGGGGAGGGAGAGATGTCATTGATTAGAAAAGAGAGTGTTACAACACTGCTAAAGTAATAAAGCTGCTGCATACCAGTGGTCTGCAAGGACAAGAAAGACCTGAATTTGTAATACGGCACAGAAGGAATAAGAGACTCTCAGAAAGATTATGGAGTTTCTCTCCTAGAGATCTTCAAAAGCCAAACAAACGTAGCCCTGGGAAACCTAATTCTGGGTGTTCCTGCTTGAGCAGGGATTGGATCAGTTGGCTCCAAAAGTCCCTTCCAACCCCAATCATTCTGTGATTTTGTTTTTTCTGCCAAGAACTCGTGCAATTGGACATGAGATCCACTATCTCAAACATCAAAATTTCAGCGTGCTATTGCAAAACCAAAAACCATGATTGAGCCTGAAAAGGTACCTCCTGCCAGCTGAACCAGATTTTTAACAGATGCAATAGAGCAGCAAACATGTGTGTTGTCTCACTGTTTCTTTGTGAGTAACAATAATCTGTTATTCATGTTAAGCATGATAAAGCTGATCCCTACCATTGCATAGGTATTTCATGATAATACCAGATGTGTCATAACTGATGAGTTTAAGAAAGCACTGACCAATTCAGACCAAGTGAGACCAGAAGGTAATGACCCCATTCCCTTTTACAACTCTAGAGGGAAAGAGGAGCCACGTGCACTCAACCTACTTCATACGTAAGCACAATACTTGGTATGTATTGCATTGTGAATACTTTACTTACTCTACCCTGATCTAGCTGTAGACGTCCCTGTTCACTGCAGGATAATTGAATTAGGTGACTTTTAAGGGACCCTTCTAACTCAAATAATTCTATGAGGTTTTTATTAATCTTCCCTTTGAGTACTCATTTCTTCTGTAGAATAACAAATGTAGCTATAGCAAGCACTATACCTCCTGATTTCCTGGAAATAAGAAAAAATGAATACAAATGCTATATTTTGACATCCAGCTGCAAAGAAAGCAAAGAATAATTATGTCTCAGCTACCTCATCATCCTCCAAGTCCTCCTCCAACTGAAGAATGTCCTTCAGAGCAGCCGCAACAACCTTCTTCCTTTTGCAAATGAAATCCTGTTCCTGAGCACACAAGTCAAAGCCCAGGCGTACATCAAGGTCTTCGTGGCTGGAACACAGCATCAAGTATCTTACATCATGCTTACAGCAACATTCAGTGATTATACTGCTTTTACTTCATAAATAGACACATCTTGACCACTGTGCACACAAAGCAGAACAGGAAAAGATGAAATGCTCAGGTTTGTTCCTATAGAAGAACATCACATCTTTGTTTGAACTAAGGGTTTTGGCTTTTTTTCCTCTTTTTTGCCCACTCCTCACTGAAGATGCCTGAAATTAGAAATAACTGCAAGTAACACAACAGCTCCCTTTCAGACATGAAGCCAAATGCCTGCAGAGGGCAGGGTTTTGAAGATGGCTTTTAAATGCACCTTCAAAAGTTGTGCAAACATCCACAGGTGACCTCACATCACGAACAGAAGGTATGGTGCAAATATTTGCCATTGTTGGCTTTGTAGGGAAGCTCCTACAAAATGTCACAGATATATCCTCCAAAACTTACAAAGGCCTTAACCATAACCAACGTGATTCCCTGGTTTAAAAATAAGTTAATGTGAATTTATTTCTTTGTTTAGCTGATTAAAATCTATGCAGGTACCTGTATTACCTCAGTTTTTTTTTTTCATATTCTAGAGTCACCAGGTACTCTGGCTTTGGCCTTCCTGTTCCCTTGTCTGTGCTTAGGGAAACAGAATTGGTTTCGTTCAGTGAGTTTTGAAATGCAGCTTTTGTTGAAAATCTACCTTTGTAATAATTCCTAGAGGTTTCTGTGAGTGCTCACATTGGCCTTTTGGTGAGTAATACTGATCACAGTAAAATATCAACAAAAAAATGTTATGTGTTCTGAATAAAAACCTCTTAACTCATTGTATAGTTCTGTTACATAAAATCACAATCTCTGAAACTCCGTATTGTTCCAGGCCCATTTTATTTCATTGCCTGAAAAGAGGACAAATCGGTACTTAAAACACAGATAGTATCAAATGGATTGGAACTTGAGTGACAATTACCCAAAAGCAAAGGGACATGGTTTAGTGGTGGACAGTAGTGATCTAGATGATCTTATAGGTCTTTTTCAACCTAAAAGATCCTATAGCTCTATTAAGACAAATAAGATCTCTTACCATTTTTTTGTCTTTAAGAGCAAACCAAATTTTCTGCACTGAAAATAAAAAAGGTAAGATAATGAATACAGATATTTTAAGACAGTCTGATTTCCTCACTTTCAAAGGGGCATAGTACTTTTGGGTCATCAATACATCTACAGAGCTCTGAACTTTGTTAAACTAAGAGTGGGAGATAGACTGTTCCCTCAGTGTTTTGTTATTACGTTGTTATTACAGAGATGTATGCTGATTTAACAAGTTAAGGTTTCAACACTATCATCTATAGCCTTTATCTTCCTTCTGTTAAGAAGTTCAGATTAGATTGCTCACACACTGCTTAGCTACACAAACAAGAGAAGAGCTGCAGTAGTTCACACCCCTGGAAGGCTCCACCAGGAAGCACTATTCTAGAACAAACTGCAGTATTTCATGCAACAACATGAGATGCAAGAGGAAGCCAAAGAGGCTGAACTCCACATGCACGTGTGCATGCAGCTCAGTTTGCCTCCTAGGGGACTGAGCCTCACCCCTTTGCCCTAGTAGCATCCAGTGACTTCCAGCTTGGTAAAGGACATGACCACATAAGGAGTCATAATGAGCAGCAGCTCAGACATTTTCTTCTTTCTCCTTCTCCCATAAATTTCCCATTTATTTTGCTCCAGTCAATTCATTTTATTATGTGTCACATTAGATGCAAGGGGGTTTAGAAAACAATCAGTTCTGTATGAAGACAGAGGGACTTTAATGTCTGCATCTTTGGAACCAGTAGGAATTTTTGAAAGTTTGCAAAGGATTCTCAACGGTCGGCAGATGCTTACCTTGCTGACTGCTTCCTGCTCAGAAGGGAGTGACTTCAGAGGTAAAGTCAGGGGGATGCTTCTGCTCCTCCTTTCTCTGCATGCCACACAAGCACACTGAAAAGAAGCATGGAGGTCCTTTTGGTTAAGACAGAAATGTTCTTCTCTTGCTGCCTATTCACATATAAAGGTCAGTTCACAGATCTGCTTGACATGTTGACTACCATGTTCAGGGGTAACGTACAAAGCTGGGAATCCTCCTCTTCTTTGTGAGTGCAACATCCAATGAGGGTTGCTTGTATTTGGCATAGTGGAAGAGAGTGGGATCTGGGAGAGGGGAACGGGAGCCAGAGCCCAGTGAAACTCTCTGCATTTCTTCAAATGATCCTCTCACTGTAAACGTTAGCTCATTCTCTAAAACAATGACATAAAACGCACAGAGTAGTTACTTTTAATTGCAAGTAAAGGGAAAAGGGGGAAAGGAAGCAAAAGGTAAATTCAAACAATCCCCTTCTCCTCTCCCTGTGTACCTGGAAAGCTGACATCTGAAAGTGATCCAAGCCCACACACTACAGGTTGTTGTGTCGTTATAATAGACTGAATAAAAAGGCAGCTGTGCGTGTGATGTGAATGCCAGCAATTTTTAGACAGCTGCATTTCTCTTGCAGCTCCATGATCACATTAAGTGCCACCAGGTACCTCATGCTATAAGGTGTTTTCATATCTGGCCAAACAATGAACAACAAAAAGTTCTCAGTCCCCTAAAATAAGATCTGACTCTGCAGTAGTTGGCCATATTTATCTGAAGAGTTCAGCTAATCCTGCTGGAGTGTATTATGCATGTTCTGAGGTTGCGTACCAGATGCAGCCCCTCAGGGGAGGTGGGCAGAGGAACTCCTAGATTCTGGTTCTTGACCGGGGTCAGGCGTGAGCCAGCTGCTGAGCGGCTAACCCCTGCAAAAAATGAGGTGTTTCTGTGCGTGTGCACAAGTCAATCTGTCACAGATCCTGAGGAAATTTAAGGCCAGGGACTATCATGCTGAAGGAGGTACGATTCTTCAGGAGTTAGCAGTAGTACAGCAGGGGTTTTTAGGATCTCAGCTTGGGGTTTAGATACTTCCCATGCAGGCACCTTATGTCATTTCTCATCTGGCACAAGGCTCTCTGTGCAGTCAGAACTTTGAACCTGCACCCGCTGCAGAACAAGCAGCATTCTCTATTGGAAAGATTTTACAAATTGCCTTAGATGTGGTCAGTTAAAGCATTAGTATTCAGCTGGTGCAATTTCTAGGCATTGTTAGAGAGGGTAAAATCACTAATACTCAATTAAAGAACTAGGAAGCTTACCTGCAAACTGTTTTTTTTTCACCCTGCTGTCAAACTCAATTTCCAAGCAGGCCAGCTCACGGCACTGTAACAGACATGACCAGGACAGGGAATTAGGTTACTGATCCAGCCATCTCAACACCAGGTGTTGAAAGGATCATTGCTTGAATGTGTGGGCTAAATGTGTGGACAGGTTCTGCTAGACCCAGTGAAAGAGAATTAACTATCACTATCATATGGTAAGATGGTGCTATGCTACCATGCTATGCTGGTGAGTTGTAATATTTTATGGATGCAGAAAAAACAAAAGAAAATGATAGCAGTCTGAAGGCTCCTCTAGAACTGTGTTGGTCTCCACTAAGGAGAAAACAAAGCTTCTAACAGAAGTGTAACCAGAGAATGAAGACTTACAGTGTTTCTCTCAGTACTGTCAAAGTCAGCTAAGGGAAGGAAAGAACAAGGAAGGAAAGAAGGCAAGAAAACAAAACAAATAATGTTTTATGTTTTACCACTACTGCCCCATTTGTGGTGATGGTTTCAGGATGATCCTGGCTAGAAAACAAAAATAACATGTATTTTAGAAATCATATCATCTGAATTTTTTTAAAAACAAGATGTATTTTTCTCTCTGAGAGATTTTGGTTTTACTTGCTCCTTTCTATTGTTTGTAAAAACATGCTTCATTTTCACTAGAAGCCATGTAGCTTACAGAGCAGAAATGATTCAATTGCGATAAAGCACCTGGGAAGTGCTTGTAACAATCTTAGTACTACAGGTGTGTCCCAGATTGGGTAGCAGTATTATCCTCAGCCATGAGCCATCCAGAGAACCCATAGACTTACTGCAGTGTATATCACCAGCTTCTGAAAGTCAACTCCAAACCACATAAATAACAATTTCAAAAGAATGCTGTAGAATTAAAATCACAAACTTATTCTCCATGCTGTGGCATTTTTTTTTTCTTATAGTGATGTACTGATGCACACATTGAGCTTGGAGAAGGGGAGACTTGCTATTGAGGTGAGACTGAGTGTACAGAACAATTCCCTGCATCAATGAATCTCTCTCTGAGCTTCTGCTTCCATTATAACAGGGTTTTACTCACATGTTCTCCAAGAGAAACTCAACTTCCAGCTCCTGACTCCCCTGAAAATGAATGAAAAAAAATGAGACGTTCTCAGTCAGCATGTGCAGAGGTTTGCAAACGCAGCCTTTGTTTTTGCAAGCATAGTTTCTTTATGCTTTATTAAATAACAATATTCTGTTTCTTGCTTGCTATTGTCAGCATTAAAGGACAGATACAGCTTTTTCTTCTCTAAGGAAAAGGTAAACTCAGTTGTACTAGCAAAGGATGTTTACAAAACCTTCATTTTTCACAACTTCTTCATTGTTAGCTTCCCTATGTCGAGAACAACATTTTAAAACTTAACGTTTAGGAAACTGTCATGGGATATTGTGCCCTTGAATTGTTTTGGTTTTTATAATCTGCGTTAAGATTAGATAAACTGTCATTTTCTGTCAGTTAAGTAAAAGTTCAAAGCTTCCCTAAAATTTCATCTGTTCTGGGGCTTGGGCACTTGACCAGAATCTGCGCCAGATTAAACCAACAGTAATTTGAGAAGGCTGAAAATTTTGCCATTAACGCACAGTTTCCAAGATTTTAAGAAATTTTGCTATGGTTGAACTCAGAAGTTGGTTCTGGTGGTACAAGACATCAAATCGAGTACCTCAAGACATTTATGCTTTTTCCCTTCTGGTTAAACTTTTGACTGCGTTCTTACCTGCGGATTCAAAGGAAATGCCACCATCACTCTTTTCCCAAGGGAGATTTTAGCTACATCAAAAAGAACAATAGCATGGTCATCATCGTGAAAGATGTCATCATCAGAAACAGTCATTTCTAGAATATTCTGTAAAAAGAAATGAAAAAATGTACAATTTGTTAGCATGTCCTCAAGAAATATAACATTGTGCAAATATTCCATGCTCAGCATCAGCTTTGGAGAGAGAAAATAAATAGGAAAGCACTGATGACAGATTGCCACCAGAGTAAAAAAAATGGTGTAATCTCTTTTATTAGAAAAAGTTTCTAGCCTTATCAATTAAGGCTGAAATGAGATTTCTTTTCGGACATTATTTCTGCTTAAAAGTAACACACCAAGCACAGTATTTTAGGAAGTAATACAGATAACTATTAGTACTATATTGTCCCATATCAACAGAAGCAGTAAAGGTCACTTCATTATTAATAACTTTCAAGTCTGACGTTTTGTGCTCTTCTTGGGCTTTCCACTTTCAAACAGTAGTGTTCATTGAGAATAGTGTAATTAGCAGTACTAAGCTGGATAAAAAAATTAATTATACCAGAATTTAATAGCTTCTTGGCTTTGATATGCATTTGTTTCCTGTCCTCTCAGTGAAAGAGAGGTTTCTCTGCTCTAAGGCTGCTTTGTAGATTTACTTCATTGTTTCTCTGTAACGTCACTCTGCCATTGGTTTTCTCAGCCTTCTGCAAGCAGGTCAGGCTCAATTGCTGATATACAAACAAAAAGCATCCACGAGGAAGGAAGTAGCAAAAGCCAAAGATGTTCACTCCAGCTTGCTAGAACTTTACGTAAACTCAGATAGGCATTAGAAGTACTGACATCCTGTTTTGGTTTAAACCAAAAGAAACAGCATACAGATGAGATGAGAGCTTTGCGTACCTTGACTTTTCTCTGTATCCGGAAGTAGAAAGTTTCATTCCACACAGGATCTTTGCAGTTCTTGATGGTTTTTGTTTGGAATTTCTCATCTGAAGCAGTTGGCAACCAGAGACTCACGTAGCAATCAGACTGGCTTACTATAGAGACATAGGCACAAAATGGCTGATAGGGCAACACAGCAAAAAAAGATGGAGGAACATAAGTGCTCTGTAGTTTGAATATGGATAAAGAGATGGCCAGTTCTTTCTCATATCTACAGGCTGATGCAAGAAGATAGGAATCATACAGCTAGATAAAGATAACTTGTTCATTGCAACACTGTTTTAATAAGCAGAGAATCCAGATAGTTATGCACAATCCCCCATGTATATACTTTAATACAGTCCTAGCTAGTGATATAATAATATACACAGCCAGAAGTCTTATATTGTCCCTGATGAATTTTTTTTTCAGCTCCCTGGTCATTTGCAGGAGAAGAAAATTGCCACATAGAAATCTGCCTGTATTTGACCACACTATCATCTTATTGCAAACTAAATAATTTCAAGTGTTTGTTAGATCTCAGCAGCAAAAATCCCTATGCTCCACACATCTCAACCTCAAACTCCCTGATGCGCAGAGTAGAGACAACAAGAAAAACTGGATATAAGTTGACTCCATGGCAAGAGTGGGCCATTGCTCATCCAGCCAGACCTCTGAGGGTGGCAGCACCAAATGTGCCAGACTGGCATGAGCATTAAGCAAAGAAATGAATTTCAGCTGAAACAAGGAAATAGCAAGAGAAGAAGGTACCAGCCCCAGTAGAGGAACGGAGAAAGGTGGGGAGACTATAGGGGCTCACAAACATAACAGAAGCAAACTTAATCCTAGCATTTTTTTAATGCTGACCCACTTTGCTTCATAACTGTTATGTGCAAGAATGTATGTGCTCATAACATTTTTTACATGCAACCCTTACATATAGAAAAAAAAAAAAACATTAACAAGATAAGAATATGATCTAGAAACTAGTCTTTTCAAATTCTCATTTCCATGTCTGCAATTTAATTCCATGAGAAATCTTAAAAGAATAAGGGTTTGCGTCCAATTCAGATAATAACTATCTGGCATGCCTTGCTATTAACACTCCATGACAGAAAAATTAATTATCCCACCCATCTTGAGTATTGTCTCCTTAGGTGGGGTAGGAAGGGAGAGATCTACTAGCAGTACAATTGTTCCTTCAGTATGCCAATAGGAAGCCGGGGATCCTTTTCCTGGTGTTTGCTGAAAGACCTGGAAGCCATTTCCTACTCCACCTCTCTCCTCAGGAAAAACGAAGAGGCAGAAAGGCTTTGCAACTTGCAGATGAAGGGAAGGAACTTGCATTTACTACAAGGATTCAAATCCCATAGATCATGAGCGAAGTAAACACCAAAGAGATTCTCAGATCCTGAACAAGAACTTTTCCAGACGCAACTGGAAGGGCTGATCCATCCTGGGGCGTAAACACATGCTTTGGTGAGAAAAGAGGAGAAAGGGAGAAATCTGGTCCCACAGCAATCACTAAAACTACCCACCCCATGGGCAAAAAGATTATTGCTTGTTTTCTCTAAACATGCAGTGAAAATGCTGACTCTTTGCTGATAGAATGTTGTAAAACCACTCAGCCCACTGAAGCTGGCAGACCCACAGAGTGTGGGAGAGAAGAACAGGCAAGCAGTGCCATGTGCTCACCAGCAGTCTGCAATACAGTCAGAATTATCGGCAAAATGTACCATGTCAGAGGTTAACAGAGGTGTAGTTCTGCTGTCTGTGCTCAGATATATTGCTTTGGGATTTTTTGCCTAAATATAAAGTGTCACTTGAAATCCAGAGGCCATGTCAAGATTTGTAGGGTAATCGTGGAGGGTGATGACTGTCTGGCAGGGAGATCTTCAGATAAGTCTTTGCACTGAATCTGAAGGAATTTCTTAAAACTACCAAGTAAACTCTGCACAAAGGGTGTAAGTTGCCTTTCTGTCTTTGAGGGTGATTCCACAAGAAATATTTCAGTGTTGCAGGTTTTTACATAATTGAAGCAAAAGGATAATATCTTGATTTTGGCAACTACTGATGTAGGATTCTATTTACACTGTACAGGAGGGCTGTAATTACCAATCTGTCTGATACACTGAAATAACTCCCCTCACTGCAACATCTGATGGCCTGCAAAGCTATGAAGTACTTATCCTGATATGTGGTATCACCAGCTCTGATCTACTGTTTCTCAATAGGAAGCCTAGATCTCCATATGACTTCAGGCCATCTAGATTTTCCCTCCTCTCATTAATGCACTTATCACTCCTGATGCCAAGCATTCCAAAAACACGAGTCCATCTTCCCCGAAAATCACCAAAGCAGATGCAATGTAACGTACTTCAAAAACGCTACACTGATCTGACTCATAAACTCTCTCCTTTTTGATATCTGGTTACCATCGGGTACAGGAGGAACTTTTCAATTACTGCAAAGGCCAGTTCTTTCCATCTCTTCTTCTAAATGAGAACAGAGATGCTCTATCCTTTCAACCATACAGTGCATAAGATAAGACTCATGATAAAACTGAAAAAAGCTGACAGTGCTAGAAGTCTGTGCTGCGCATGAATGATCTGCCACAGCATTTATGAATCTCTTTTGTTACTGTTTCATCTACAGATTTGTTGGGGTGTTTCCCTCGATAAAACTTTTTCTTGAGTTTACTTGCTGAAATTATTTTTCCATATGAGCATTGCTTCCATAAATCTTTACTTAAAATAAGCTATTGACAGTTCTTTGTCAAACTATGGAAGCACAGGCTGTATAAACAGCCAACGAAATGATTAAAAACAGGCTCAGCTGCCAGGCTCAAAGAATTGTAATCAGCAGCACAGAGTCTGGCTGGAAGCCAGCTACCGGAGGCGCACCCCAGGGCCTGACACCGAGGCCAATATTGTTTAGCATCTTCAGTAACAATGTGGATTATGGGATGGATTTTACAGATGATACAAAAATGGGAGGCGTGGCTGATAGATCAGGCCTGCTGGAACCTCATGAAGTTAATCAGGGAAATGCCGTGTCCTCCACACAAATGGGAATAATGTCATGCACCGGAACAAGCTGTTGGCCAAATGACTGGGGGAAATCTCTGCAGAGAAGAAGCTAGGGGTTCTGGTGGACACCAGGTGGAACATAAGCCAGCAATATGGCTGACAATGCCAGCAGCCCCCTGGGATGAATTAGAAGGAGCACTATCAACAGGTAGAGGAAGGGACAAGAGAGAGATGAACACACTGGAGTGAGCACACCAAAAGGTCACAAAGAATATCAGGGGTTTGGGGCATCTGACATATGTGGAAGGACCGAAACAGCTGGGACTCTTCAGCTTGTAACAGAAAAGGCTCCGTGGGATCTTACTGATGTATCCAAATACCCAAAGGGAACAAGAAGGGAGAGAGTCAGACTCTCCTCATCAGTGCTCAGTGAAAGTAACAGGCAATAGGCATGAATCAAAATACAGGGAAACCCATTTAAACATAGCAAAAAGGTAAGTTTAAGAATACAAAACTAAAACAACAATAACTGTGAAAGCAGTCAAACACCAAAACAAGATGGCCAGAGAGATTGTGGAGTCTCCATTCGTGGAGACTTTCAAAGCCATCTGAACATCGCTCTGAAAAGCCTGATCCAGCTTACCCTGCTTTGAGCAGAGGATTTGACTTGATGATGTCTGGAAGTACCTTCCTCCCTCAGCCACTCTAATTCTGGGTGTGATGTCAAGCCTAGCTAATCACAGACAAATTATGTATAATTGTTGGTAACAGATTTTGACCTTGAAGATGAGGTGAGGTGGGGCCATTAGGACAAAGCATATCCTCTTCCGGTGGAGAAATAAACCATGCCACATATGTTTGTGCCACAGTTTGTCTACAGTCTCTACTGATGGGAAGATGTGTTGTTTGCCATCAAATTCCTGCTATTTCCTATGTTCTCCTTGATTTATACATACAGTTATCAGCTATTCCTCATGCTGTCACACTGATGTTATATATTTCTGTAGAAGTGGCATTAATTCAGATGTAGTCAACTTGATATGCAAACAGGGAGACCAATAAAAATAACAGGATAGTGGGATGTCTGATGAAAACTGTCATACCCTATTACGTGGGAGAACTTGAAATGATTAACCAGTTACTTTGATCCCTCTTATCCCTGGAAAAAAGAAGTAAGGAAGAGCAAGCAAAAATCTTCCAGTTCATTCATTATTACCTGGGAGCTAATAAAAGAAATTATATTTGTTTTTTCTTCATGCTCTACTTTTAACGCAACTCTATATTACTAGGCATCGTTAGTAATTTCATGCCATGCATGGCTCTTACATCACAGCACATGTGGCAACCTCATTCCCTGATAATATCATGTCATTCTACGGAGACGCTAAGACATCTGAGTTCATGGTCTTCTTGTATGTCACTACTAGGTGTCATTTATATCCTACTCCCATTTTCAACTTTGTGAACTGTTCCTTTTGTGCACTGTTGGACTATTTCTCATCTCTGTCCTCAAGCTAAAAATGGGACGAACATTCAGAACCGAACCCAGATATTCATAACCACTAACAAACACTGTTTGCTGCACCATGAAAGTACAGTCCTTTGGCATGTTTCTAAAATTAACAATCACATGCTACAATCAGTTATGTCTCTCAGAAAAAAAAAAAAA